TACATGTCTGTGGTTTTATTTTAAAATGAGTAAGTTGAATGAAAAGGTATAAGAAGTTTAAAAAGTTTAAACAGACTAGGTAAGACCCACAAATTGTTATAAAATAGTCTATTGGATTGTAATAAATTAATAAATGAGCAAATAAATAAAAATTACTTACATGCCGGTACTCTATTAATTGATGGATGGTAGAACATGGTTAAAACTACTATGTATTGTTGGATGGAGAACTGAATTCTGCTATTGTAGTTGTTTGACAGTAAAAGGGAAGTTCCTTAAGAACATTTCTTTGATTTATTTTGTAAATTAAAGCTATCGTACCCTTTATCCACTTCTATTTCCTTGCATCTGTCGGAGAGCCAACTCTCTTTTGCCTCTCGAATTTTTTTTCTGATGTTTCTCTGAACACTCTATGTATTTATTCAGGGCTTTTGCTTTATGTTTTCTTCGTTCGTCCATGAGTTCAAGAATTTCTACTGTCATCCAAGGTTTTGTTTTTTCTTTAAATGGTTTGAGGGTTTCTTTTTCAATTGACACAAGGGCATGTTGAATTTTTCCCCATTTTTGGTCAATAGTTAGATTTTCTGCATTATCTTCTTTGACTTTCCTTAAGCTCTCGTTTATTTTAAATTTGGTTTCCACATATGTGTTGTCTTGTTTGAGACGTCTTGTATCTATGATTTTCTTGGTGCTAGGGCAGTTGACCTTCTTTAGTTTCACTCTCATCGTAAAAAACAACCGGATTGTGGTCGGAGGATATGTCCGCTCCTGGATAAGTTTTAGATGATATTATAAAATTTCTATATCTTCTGTTGACGATAATATAATCTATTTGATTTCTGACTATTTTGTTGTTATTGTCACCTGGTGACCTCCATGTATATAGTCTACGTTTAGGAAGTTTGAACAAGGTATTTGTAATTATAAGTTCCTCATTGACACAGAAATCGACAAGCCTATCGCCACGTTCATTCCTTTCCCCGAGTCCATATCGCCACACGCAATTCTCCACTTCTCCTTGGCCAACTTTAGCGTTCAAATCGCCCATTATAATATTTATATCTTGTCTTTTAGTTAGTCTTAAGACATTGTCGATTTGTTCATAGAAGGCCTCTATGGTGTCTTCATCCTTGTCTGCAGTGGGTGCATATACTTGGATTATATTTATTTAACGTTTTTAATGAGAGTTTAGAGACAGCATTAATACTCGATCAGAGTAGGGAACAAAGTTACAGACAGCTTTCTGAGAATTCTTATCAACTACAATGCCAACTCCCCGTTTGTGCTTGGAATCGTTGTTTCCAGAATAATACATCGTTCCATTCCTGGTCTAACATTTTCCTGTTCGCTATCATTGTTTCGTTAATAGCCAATTTGGCTGATGCGATTTTTTTATTAAAAAAAAATACGCTATATGGGGTCAATTTAAAAAAAATTAAACCGAAAAAATTTGATATTGCTACAAATTCCGTATCTGTGCAGTAAGGAGGGTGAGTTATGTTCCACAGCACTTAGGCCACAATTTACCCATCGTGCAGCCTCCCAGGGAGCTGTCTTCCTTAGCTTATTGGAAATGCTGCCAGTTCTAGTCACAAGTCTCAGTGAACATCTTCCTTAAGGGGGCAGGTGTAAGCTAGGACTCGCCGAACGCGTACTCTTCTATTAACCATAACTCCAGGCATTCACATAGGATTTGCTCTAGAGTTCCGTTCTTTCGTTCAGACTTCCTGCATAGAAGTGTGTCTACTAGCCCCAGTGTGTTTAGGTGTTTGCTTAGTTGACAATAACCAGTTAATAAAACCAACTGTTAAGCATTGGTTTTTCCTGGTCATTCCCAAGTGTTTCTTTGATGCTGACTTTTCAAGGTTACTTAGTGTTACAAGTTTACATCCTTGCCATTCTTTCCATCTTTTCACGGTTTGCGTGTGGTAGGGACATTTGACAATTTCTGCGATCGTTGTAGTTGACCTAGTAGATTGCTACAACTTATCAAGTGGTTAAATATTCCTCACAACGTTTTCCCAAAACGTTAAAAATTATCATTCAACGTCATTCAATTATCAATCAATTATCACATTCAAAAAATTATCATAACTTGAATTAGTTATAAGTTGTGTTTTGTTTAAATAATAACAGTTCATTAATTCAAATGGATGTTAATATATTTTTATTGCTCACGATTTAATCTTCATTTATTTATTTATTTAAATTTTTACACATAAACAATTAGATTGGTTAAAATTAGCTTGGTAATTAACATGTATTCTTCTACGGATACTACGGCATACAGAATATTCTTTTACAATATCGAAAAATAAGACAAAGTATTATAATACTCTCAGACGAACCAATATCATGCTTTGTTTAGGTTTGAATTTATATGAACTAACAAAGAATAGTTCTAGAATTCCTAACCGGCAGGTAGCGGGTAGGAACTCCTTCGGATAGTCCTATCAGGGGAACTGAATCAATTCCTGCCTTCCGCAGATTCCAGGTGTTTCCTGACCCGGGAAACTAGAACCTGCTAAAGGTCCCTTGTCGAGGGTCATGGATGAAGTCCACAACGGTATCCAGGGCGGAGGAGAAGGTCTTCACAACGGTCTGGAGAGCGGAGGTGGCAGCCCAATGGTTTTAGGGATTGTATAAAACTAGCACTGGAAAGTGGCAGCTGGCTTATCCAACACTAACCACAGGCAGACTGAAATGGCTGTGAAGTAGACAGCATGGTGACATTCACCAAAGCGGCACATGTACAGAGGTGTAGAAGGCAACGGAAAACCAGTACACTAATGTTTCCCCAGCAAAATTACATAATGCTCATGTAACCTAAAACAACGGCTCTCAGTTCCGGACACCTCTTAAATGAGGAGAGGGTGCTAAGAATCCCTTGGGTTGATATCGATATACTGGGATGCAGTGAGGTACGATGGCCAAATACAAGTACCTGTGTGATGGGCAAATATACAGTATTCTATTCTGGAGATGAAGGCACTCAAAATAAAAACGGTGTTGTAATAATTACATCGAATGAAATTGCAAAATTAGTTTCTGGATTACTACCAACATCAAATAGAATACAGCTAATAAAAATAAACAGCAAACCAGTCAATATGATTATTATTCAGGTATAGGCCCCAACTAGTCAAAGCACAGAAGAAGAAATAGAACAATTCTACGATGACCTAAACAAAACTCTACTGCAGACAAAAAAGCATGAAACCAACATAAAATTGGGAGACGTTAACGCCAAGATTGGAAAAGGAAGAGAAGATGACACGGTGGGGGAGTTTAACCTCGGAATAAGAAATGGGAGGAAAGATAGACTGCTTCGGTTCTGTAAAGAAAATCAGTACAGTATAATGAACAGCTTTTTCAAGTTACCACCCAGACGTCTCTACACGTGGAAACTTCCAGCAGATGGAATAGAAGGACGCATCACAAGAAATCAAATCGATTACATAATGGTCAACAAAAGATACAAAAACGCAGTAAAAGCATGCAAGACATATCCTGGAGCTGACTTCCCTTCCCCACCGACCACAATCTTTTTCTTGCAACAATTAGGATAGAATTTAAAAGAACAAAAAGAAATAAGCAAATAATAGCTATTAACCCAGATAAGCTTAAAGAAGAATCCACTAGTAATAAAATACGGGAAGAAATACATAGACACTTGAGTAACAGAACAGTACAATCGACACAAACTCCCGAGGAAGGATGGCACTATATTGAGAAAACACTTACAAGAGTAACAGAAGACTACCTCAAACAAGATACACGAAATAAGAACAAACCATGGATGACAGAAGAAATTCTAAACATGATGGACGAAAGAAGAAATTACAGAGGTAAAAATGAAACAACATACAAGCAAATACACAAGAATATCAGAATAAAGATCCAACAAGCCAAAGAAGCCTGGCTAAGTGAAAGATACCAACAAATTGAAAAGTTGGAACAAAGACATGATACTTTCAATCTACATAAAAAAGTAAAAGAAGCCGCTTGAATATTTAAACAAACTCCTACGTCTTTCATCGAAAATAAACATGGGAACCCGCTACTGAACATAGAAGATCAAATAGGTAAATGGAGAGACCACTTGGAAGAGATGTTTCAAGACCGAGAGAGGACGAACATTTACATTTAGGAGGCGTCGACTGGACCTTATATCACAAAGCAAGAAATTATCAAAGCAGCAAATCAGTTAAAGAACGGAAAATCTGTTGGGGAAGATAATATCCTAATTTAAATAATAAAGATATTACTAGACGAACACATCGAAGTAATGGAAGATATATTTAACAAAATATACGAAACATGCATAATACCAAATGATTGGCTGACATCGGTATTTATACCACTACCAAAGAAGAGAAACTCCAAGAAATGTAAAGACCATAGGATTATTAGCCTGATAAATCATATGGTGAACCTTTTCCTACGAGTAATACAGAATAGAGTATACAAAAAACTAGACGAACACACTGGTCAAACTCAGCTTGGTTTTAAGAATGGATTTGGAACAAGAGAAGCACTTTTTTCAATAAATATGCTAGTTGAAAGATGCAGAGATGTCGATTCTGATGTATACTTGTGTTTTATAGACTTTGAGAAGGCGTTTGACCTGGTAAAACATGATAAACTAATAGATATTTTAAGGTCATGTAATATCGACGATAAAGACTTAAGGATCATTTCAAACCTCTACCAAGAACAAAAGGCTAAAATCAGCATAAAAAGCGAAACATCTGAAAAAATCAATATCGAGTAGGGAGTAAAACAGGGATATGTCCTATCACCCTTGCTGTTCAATGTTTACTCTGAGAAGATATTTCAGAAAGCTTTGGAAGGCACTATGGATGGTATAATTATAAACGGGCAATGTATAAATAACCTGCGATATGCTAATGACACTGTCATACTGGCAGATAATGCTGAAGCCCTGCGACGCTTAATGGATCGAGTAACGACAGCCTGTAGAGAATTTGGAATGAAATTGAATACAAAGAAGACAAAAACGATGGTCATCAGCAAGCACAAAAACAGAAGGGTGAAGGTCATTGTCGACGAAACAGATCTGGAAAGGGTAACAAGAACAACATACCTTGTAAGTAATCTTGATGAAACTTAGGCACGTACAATGTTTTACATAATGCAAAAAGTTCTATGCAACCGCCAGCTGGGCATCTCATTGAGAACTAGAATAATTAAGTGCTATGTTTTCTCCACCTTGCTCTATGGTGTTGAAGCCTGGCCAATGACAGAAGCAAAACAAAAAAGAATCCAAGCATTTGAACTCTGGTGTTACCATAAAATGCTCAGAATATCCTACATGACCCATAAGACAATTGCGGAAGTCTTGCGGAGGATGAATAAGGAAAGAGAGCTTATGCTTATAATAAAAGAACGGAAAACACAATATTTTGGTCATATCATAAGAAATCAAAAGTATGAACTGCTCCAACTTATAATCGAAGGCAAAGTCAGTAGCAAAAGAGAACCAGGAAGAAGACGCAACTCTTGGCTTAAAAACCTACGGCAATGGACGAACATGACCTTCATAGAACTATTCAGGGCTGCTACAAATAAGATTAAATGGGCAAATGTAATGGCCAACGTCCTTAAGGATAAGACACCGTAAGAGGAAGAAGAACAAAGAATAGAAATAAGGAGTTGCAGGAATAAAGTTTTTAAAATATAGGACAATCTCTTTAGTTCGAAAATTGCTTTTTTGTAGCATGTGGAATGATTACCTATGTAAATACCTACGTTTGACAGTTGGTTTTTTAACTGGTCATTGCCAACTAAGTAAACACCTCCACACACTAATGCTTGTAGATCCACCTCTATACAGGAAATGTGAACAAGAGGACGAAACAGTACAGCATATCTTATGTAAATGCCCGGAGTTTTCGGTAATACGAGAGTACGCGTTTGGTTAGTCCTGGCCCACACCTGCCCACATAAGGGAGATGTTCACTGGTGACTTGTTCACCTTAATAGAAATGGCAGTGTGGACAATGAGCTAAGGACGACAGCTCTCTGGAAGGACGCACAATGGGTCAATTGTGGCCTAAGTGCTGTGAGACTTAACTCGCCCTCCCTAGTCTACTGATACAGATACAGATTATTTCGTAAATTTAAACTATACATGTCCACAAAACCTGGAAAATATGGTTTAAAGATTATGGCCCTCTGTCATGCTAGATCGGGATATTTAATAAACACTTATATTAAAGTTGTATGTACAGTGACGGTAGAATCTTACCAAATGAGGAGAAACAGTTTTCCAAACCAATTGTTGGTTCTAATAAAAATGTTACAGCTCATAATTGGTTTTCATCTATAGAAGCTATAAACGTTTTAGAAACAAAAAATTCAACGTTTGTTGGAAGATTGAAAAAGAAAAAACGCAAAATTCCACCAGAGTTCTTACCTAAACGAGATAAAGTAGGGTCCAGTTTGTAGGGTTATACGAAAGATATAACATTATTATTCCACTTTCAAAAGAGAGACAGAGCAGTACTGCTTGTATCTTCCATGTACCATAATGAAGTAATTGAATCAGATACATCTAAGCCTAAAACAATTATCTATTATAATACAACAAAATAAGAGGTATATTCATAGGTTGAACAATGTGCCTTATATTCTTGCATTCGAAGAAGGTGTTGCCCAATGACCATATTTTACAGAATGGTGGACATCAGTTTGGTGAATTGTTATATAGTACATAAGTATTTTCTAGATAATGTAAAACTGACAAGATATGTTTCTAGGGTAGGTCGTGGCTCTTAAATATCTTGCTCAGTCTGGCAAACTCTGACCTATCTATCTATCTATCTAATTAGCCTTAAACGCCCACTCTTGGTCATAGGCCTCCTCTGTTAATCTCCATTGGTCTCTATTTTGGGCGATCTGCATCCAGTCCTTTTCTGCCGTTTTTTTAAGATCGTCAGTCCATCTCATCTGTGGTCTTCCTCTTTTTCTTTTCTTTTCTTTTCCCATGGTCTCCAGTGTAAAATTCGCTTATTCCATCTTTAATCTTTTTGCCGGAGAGTGTGACCGGCGAAGTTCCATTTAAGTTTTGCAACCTGTCTTGATACATCGTTCACCTTTGTTTTTTCTCTGATTCATGAGTTTTTTTCCTGTCTTTAAGACCGATACCCAGCATCTCTTTTTCCATTGCTCTTTGTGTTTTGGATATCCTGTCGATGTTCTCCTTTGTGAAAGTCCGTGTTTGTGAGACATATGTGATAACTGGTAAACTGCACTGGTTGAATACTTTCGTTCGCATATATTGAGGGAACTTTTTATTTTTTTAGAATATATGATAGTTTACCAAATCAGGCCTATGCTAGTCTAGTTCTTCTTTTTATTTCTTCTGTTTGATTGTCCCTGTTTAGCTTTATTATCTGTCCTAGGTATATGTATTCTGCCACCTGCTCTAATTTATTTTGTTTGACTACTATTTCTAATTGGTCTTCTTGGTTTGTCCTATAGTTTATCTCTAGACCTACCTCTGTCGCTTTTCTATCTAGTTCCTCAACCATCTTCTGTAACTCTTCCTTCTTATCTGTTATCAGGACTATATTGCCTGCATATCTCAAATGGTTCAAGAGCTCTCCATTTATTCTTATTCCGTATGTATCCCATTCTAATTTTTTAAATATGTATTCCATAGCCTGATTGAACAATTTTGTCGATATTGTGTCTCCCTGCCTGATTCCTCTTTCGAATTTTATTGGTTCTGTAGCGTGTTCGTTCGTCAATTTTATTGTGGTACTCGCATTTTTGTATATGTTTGTTATTGTACCTGTAATTAATTCTGCCGTTCTGTAGTGAGTTTTTGATGGCCCAATGTTCTATGCTGTCAAACGCCTTTCTGAAGTCTATGAATGCCATGTATAGTGGGATTTGATACTCGTTCCAATTTTCAATTATTATTTTTACTGTTAGCAGATGGTCGCTAGTACTAAAACCCTTTCTGAATCCCGCTTGTTCTCTTGCTTGGTAAACTCTGACCTGGCTTTTTCAATTCTCCGTTTTATCTCAACTGAGTGGTCCCATTGGTCGTTTATGGTAGTTCCTAAATAGTAGTTAGGAGGAACTTGGAATATTTGTTGCTGATCTACCAGTAATTGTCTGGGTGGCATATGCTTCTTACTGATGACCATGTACTTTGTTTTCTTGATGTTAAAATCAAGCCCTTACTCCTGACTAATTCTTCACAACTGCGTTACTAGTGTCTGTAGACCTTCTAGACTGTCTGCAAAGAGGATGGTGTCGTCTGCATATCTGATGTTATTCAGGCGTTCACCATTTATGAGAATACCCTCTTCGATATGCTCTAAGGCCTGGCTCATGACGTGTTTCGAGGGTAATGTGTTCCTGGCTCATAACGTGTTCCGTTAAATAATAGGGGAGAGAGTATGCAGCCCTGTCGTACTCTCTTTATTGCAACTTCCTCTGTTAGTTGGTCTTTCACCCGAATGGTTGCTGATTTTTTGTAGTATATGTTCTTATTTGTATTTCGTAGTATAGATTACTCGAAAGTCTTTGTTATCTAGACCAGTTGCCTTTAGTATATCCATGAGCTTATCGTGCTTGATTCTGTCGAAAGCTTTCTGGTAGTCGATAAAGCATACATAAATATCGCAATTGATGTCTCTGCGCCTTTGGAATAATACCTGAACCGCGAACAAAGCTTCTCTTGTATCAAACCCTGAATCTGAATCCAAACTGAGTTCATGAGATCTGTGACTCTCATTTCTGATTTGGATTTCACCTGTCTTATCCATCCGACGTATTACCTCAATTTGTGTTACTAGGTCCACCCAGGAGATCCTCAGTGTACGTCTATAACACCACATTTCAAACGCCTCGAGTTTTCTCATGGATGCCTCGGTTAGTGTCCATGATTCAACCCCATAAAGCAGCACTGTAAACACGTAGCGTCTTAATAAAAGGATTTTTGTTTTTATACCCATGTATGGCTCTTTATACCCATGGAATTCTCAACATTCTTCTGTATATATACATCTCACAGGCATTTACTTTTTTTTCAGAATCCATTGTCCAATTTTTACAGCTATACTGTAAGACGGAAGAAACGTAACATCTGATCATTTGGATTCGAAGCTGCACACTAAGGTCTAATTTTGTAAAAAATGTTTTTATGCTCAAGAATGCTTTCCTTGCTTGTTCGATTCTTGATAAGATTTATTTTTTTGGATTACACTGGCTATTGATATTTACTCCCAAATATTTTATAGAATTTGCCTGTTCTATTATTTGACCCTTGGCATAGAACACTAAAGTTTTAGTTTTGAAAACGTTTACATGTAAACCGAACATTTCGCTGTAGTGAACTATCGCATTTATTATATTATAGAGTTCTTGTGAGTTGCTTGCTATTAAGACGGTATCATCAACATATCTAATGTTGCTTCCGTTAATCTTAATTCCACCTTGGACCTCGTCTAATGCTTCTCTGGATATAGACTCGAATACAAATTAAACAGTAGCGGTGATAAGACGCAACCCTGTCTCACTCCTCGTCGGATTTGTATATCTTTGGATGTTGTGTGCTATTTCAATTGTTGCCGTTTGGTGTCAGTATAGTTCTGAGATAATTCGCAATTCTTGTTCGTCAACTTCAGTTGTTTTCAGAATTTTCCATTAAATGTAAATTCGTGTATGGATAATTCTGAGTCAAGTTTTAAGGAAATGAGACGTCAAGCTTAATATTCGATAATCATCGCATCGTGAGGAATTCGATTTTTTTTGGTAATGCTACAAATGTTGATTTTAGCCAGTCTGTTGGTATTTTACCTGTGTAATACATCTTATTGAATATTACTTTCGTTATCTGCAATTAGTTTTAGTATTTTGACATTGATATTGTCTGGATTGGTGGCTTTTCCATATTTTTGAGATTTTACTGCGTGAATGACTTTTTCTTTGGTTATTTCTGGACCATTTTCATTTATTCGATTATCTGAGTCTAAAAGACTCTTCGTCACTTGTGCTCACTGTCTCCCTATATCGTTTCAATTCTTCTTGTGTAAGACATTTTCTACCCATTGTCTTTACAGTCACTAATATTTAATATTTTTTATTTAATTTAATTTTTTATTAGTCTTTTTCCACTTTGTGTCGCTAAACGTCTACCTAAAACAAAAAATATATACACTATTTCGGAAAATGGATAGCGAAAAGAGGGATAAGAAGTGTAAGAAGATTTTGGAAGGACAAAGGAATTGGACATGATTTCTCTCAGTAAGGAATTGAGGGCAAACCATGGCTCGCGTGGGCAGAGACGCTTCCCTGAAGTAGACCTATTTTCCACCAGGATCGTAGAAACGTATCTATCCGCTACCCGATATTAATACACTAGTATCAAGATTTACTAAAGTACATAATACACTAACAGGTAATAAAAATTAACAGTAGTGAGGAGAAGAATACCTTTCAGAAAATCTATGACTACATTTTCATTTGTGGAAATAAATAAATATATATATATATATATATATATATATATATATATATATATATATATAAATATATATATATATATATATATATATATATATATATATATATATATATATATATATATATATATAAATATATATA